TGTGTGTGTGTGTGTGTGTGTGTTTGTGTTTGTGAAATAATTTGTCGTCTTTCTTGAAAATGTAATATTTTTTCTTTATTCTTTTGTCTCTTCTGTAATAATTTACTAAGTTTAACCAAGTTTGGGGTCTGTAAAATGTAAGTATTTTTGAAACTAGTGTCTTATGTTCATCAAGGTTGCTTATTTGTTAAAAAATGCAATAAAACAGTCATATTGTAATATATTATTACAATTTAACATTACAGATTTCTATTTTAACAAATTTAAAATGTAATTAATTCCTGTGAATTTTCAGCAGCTGTTACTCCAGTGATGCACAAGTGTCTGTTGTTACATATATTTAAATGTCTCGCCACTTAACTTTTTATAACATGCTACTGCTGATTCACAGTACATTTATTATTGCACACAGCTCTAAAAGATCTAAAATGATGTCAACAAAACAACCAAAAATACACCAGATATTCCTCTGTTTATATAAATCAAACGGTTTGACCCCAAGTTGGATTTTAACCGTCAGCATGCCACCGATGCTCGTGTGCAGCATTACCCCCAACTCCACCCCAAATCTTCCTCCTCTTTATTCACTGTCGTTCCTCCCCATGCTCATTTCAGTCAGTCTGTAGGGGGCTGAGGTGGCACCGGCTCTTTGTTTGCTTGTCTTTGCTGTCCCTTGTGTTGCATCGAGACAAAGGCTATTGTCAGTGCAGCCACAGAAAGACACTCTGGCTCTTGGTTCTCTGTATTTTCTCACACTCTTCATGCCGTGGTACAGACCTGCTCCGTCGTCCACCCCCACAAAGCAGCACATGATACGGATGGAGGAAGAATGCCCACTTACACCGATCCACCCAGACTCACGCACTTCGCTGCAGCTGCTGCTTTGTTGCAATGGCATGTTGCAGTGTTTCAGATTTGGCACATGTGAATGGATTGTGAATAGATGTCTGTGACAGTATGAGCTTGTTATATTGTTTTGGATTTGATGAGCACTGTTTGCAGTGTATATTGTGACAAAAATGGTGTGCACGAAACTGGTTCCCAGCGCCAAAACAACTGGGAAACAGGCTTCTGTTTTGAGAAACTCTCCTTAGTCAACAACAGATTTTTATGATTTATGTTGAAAATCTGAGAGGGGTTTGCCTGTGCACAACCACCTTAATGCTGGAGTGTTGGGGCTGTTTGCCAGGTTGTCGCTATGCAGTTGCTAAAAGGGTACTTTCATGGTGGTTATTTGCTACACCAAAGTTGAATTATTTTGGTTAGTGGTTTGTTTAAATTACTAACTATGAGCACAAGTGCTCCAGAAACGTCAGACTTCAAGAATTACATTGCTCAGTGTTGGCAGTTTGGGGATTTTGTCACCAGATTTAGTGACTTTCTCGTATGATAAAATGCAGGTGATATGATCAAATTTGCATGATCTGGTAAGAGCTCTAGCAGCTGCATTTTGAGGATGCAGGACAGCCAGCAAGTAATGCATTATAATAAACCAGTATTGAGGCCATGAATGCATAAACTAACTTTTGAGCATCAGAAAGGGAAAACATGTTGGTGGTAGATGGAAGAAGGCTGTTTTAGTGACACGAGATATGAGACTTCAAAAGTTGCTGTTGAATTTAACTTGCTGCTCTTTAACTGTGGAGGATGGAATAATACTACTTATGTCTAGATGCAAATTATATTGAACACTGTAAAAGACAGATCCGTAAAATAACAGAAAAAGTGCTGGCAGCTCATTACACAGGACATTATCCATTCATTTTACGGACATTTTACGGACATTTCCGTTAATTATAACAACGAAATGCCTTTAGAGTGTAAGATCTTATGTGTACAGGTTTTTGGCTCATTGAGTAATATCTCTGGTTTATCAGAATTTAATAAAACACTCTAATAATAATAATAATTTTTGTAAAATGCTGTGGCAAAACATGTTATTTGATTCAAAGTAAGTTCTTCAATTTTGTTTATTTGTTTGTTTTAATCATTTATTTACATTCGGTTTTAATGATAAATCTTATATTGTGAAAGTTAAAATTAAAGTTTATTGCATTATTTTAGTCGTGTATTATCATGATGGTGTTTTGTATTTGTGTGTTACTGGACTGTACCGTAACATTCTGGCAAATAATCGTTGCCATTTTTTATTACTTTTAACTTGGATAATTTAGAATTGTCATCTAGTCTAGAAGTGGCCACATGTATAAGAAAAACAGCAGAGGGCCTAATACAGATCCTTGTGGTAATGTGCAATTTCTAAGTGTCAGATATGATGAATCATCAGAAAATGGCATAAACTGATCCTTCATATGCTTTTGTTATGGATCCCAGGTTGTTATGAATGCTGTATGCGTTGTCTGGGAGGAGTGCCGTATGTCTCTCTGGTGGCCACTCTGCTGTGTTTCTCTGGCATTGCTCTGTTCTGCGGCTGTGGACATCAGGCCCTTACAGAGAGCGAAAGACTTATCGAGACGTACTTCACCCGTGACCATCAGGACTACATCACCCTAGCGTACCTGTGCGTGCCAGTAGCATCTCTCTCATCATTTATGTTCAATCCAGATTAATCTATTTCAATTTTCACTTTATTTACCCATAATCACAAGCTTCACAATAAAAAATTATATGAAATGACAAGTTTGAATAAAGATTTTTTAAGGTATCAAAAATGAATTTGTGCTTGAAGAAGTAGCCCATGCTTTTTTTTCGCGTAGAATGATCAGAAATTTTAACATCTTTTTATTGCAAACGTGTCTTTCTCTCTCTCTCTCTCTCTCCTGTAGTATTGAGTATTTTCAGTACATCATTTATGGCCTGGCCTCCTTCTTCTTCCTGTACTGTATAGTCCTGCTGGCTGAAGGTTTTTACACCACCAGTGCAGTCCGGCAGTCATTTGGAGAATTTCGTAGTACAGTTTGTGGTCGCTGTCTCAGCACAATGGTGAGTGATGTGCAGTGCGAGTTTCACTTTGCGTTGGCTACGTTCCAAAATGTTGCACCCTCGTGTTGTTACAAACACGTATGCCTTTTTTCCTTTAAGCAATATGGGAAATTTTAAAGAATTTGCACATTGCACATTTCCTTACGATGAACGTATATAGTTATCAGAGGCTGCCAAGTTTCAAAATGTTGATATTGAAAACACTGAATATTTCCAGCTTTCATATCTCATTTGCACTTCCGTATATTCAAAATTGGTGCATTATATGTAGTTTAGTGTATTTGTGTTAAACCTGGTGAATTGCATTTCTTGAGTATGAATAAATGCATTTTTTTTTCCTTTTGAGTGAACTCTTCATTTAAAATAAAATGCATCAAACTGATATATGTATGCATTTCTTCTACAGTTCATTGTGATCACATATGTCCTGGTTGTGGTCTGGTTGCTGGTGTTCTCCCTCTCTGCGCTTCCTGTCTACTTTTTCTACAACATGGCAAACACCTGTCACACTATCAACATCCTCTCTGAGACGCCCTCCAGCATCAACCAGCTGTGCATTGATGCCAGACAGTACGGTAATAACCCCGCAATACATTTATCATATATTTTCTGTCTCTTGACAGCTCAGAGATTTGATATCACGGCTCTGTAACCGTGATTAAAGTCTTGCTGAGGCTCCGATGTCTTTTGAAGTGTCCTGATGTTCAGATATTTTCTCACACTTGTAGTTCGGCAAGCTTGATTGAGATCAAGCTTGAGATCACTGCATAATTCAACACAAGTGCAGGAGGAATATGGGTCCTTCTCAACCTAGAGAGGCTTTTTAATTAAAGGAAAATCTTTATATTAACTTATTTTCTTAGTATTTTTTTCTGATTTCTTAATTAGTGAATGATAATAGTATGACAGCTGCCTGTGGTTCACATCATGGGCAGTTTAGTGTTATGTCATAAATTCACAACGAAACAAGAAAACATGAATTTCCTCTCCTCTTAAAAGTTTTTTTGTCTTGCATATCATACTGAACTCAGACAAGCTCAATGGCGACTCGATGTCCACCATTTATTCTGGAAATTGTAATGTGTGCAAATGATTGTTGGTATTTTTTTATTTTTTTTTAACCAGTTGTCTGAGCCATAAATGCCACGTGACTCTAACCAAACACAACAACACATGTTGGGTCAATGACATGATGCTTTTATATTTTCTTTTCTTTTCTTTTCTTTTCTTTTCTTTTCTTTTCTTTTCTTTTCTTTTCTTTTCTTTTCTTTTCTTTTCTTTTCTTTTCTTTTCTTTTCTTATATTTTCTTTTCTTTTCTTTTCTTTTCTTTTCTTTTCTTTTCTTTTCTTTTATTATTTTATTTTATTTTATTTTATTATAAAATACATCAAAATGCCATCAGATTGAATTCAATACACCTTTTCTACATTGAGCTTTTTTTTTACATTTCTACATTGAAATGTTTTCGATTTTAAAGTCAAAAATGTCAGTGTGTCCTGACATTGTAATGAAGAAAAACTTTTAAGGAAATTCTTGATAAGAAGTATATTAGTTTAGTAGGCATAATATTTTATTATTTCTTGAAAAAAAAAATATTTCAACAAAACTATTTCACTGCTTATTAATATTTGAATCATACAGACTGTCTCACAAGTCCCTTAAATTATCAGATAATTTGAACTTTTTGTGACAAGGTGAGGTTCATTCTAGTTGTAAATATGATGTCTTGTAAATCCCTGAAAATCTAATTATTTTTATGAATTAATAATAATAATAATTACAAATATTTCTCACCTTAATTATGATTAAGATGTGTACACTTACTTGATTGACGTTTTTAAAGTTGCTAAATTTCTTGAAAATGAATGTTTTTCAAAACCATATGAAGCCAATATAAATTATACAGAGGACATTTTTAAGAACTTCACATATAAACTAAAAGATTTTTCATTTATCACGGACAGCATTATTGTTATTAACCCACATGTGACAGCACACTTGGTTAAACTGGCTAAATGTCTGCATGTGTTTCTGGCCTTAGACTGTTAACGTCTGTTCTCTTAATGTGATGTTATTTATACTGACACAAATTTCAATAAAACATCATTTTGCCTTGATCTTTTTCATGCTCTTACACTGTGTTTTATGTCTCTGTCTCTCTAAGGTTTACTTCCATGGAATGCAGTACCAGGAAAGGCTTGTGGGATGACCCTGTCTAATGTCTGCAAGACAAGAGAGGTAAGACGTGGCCCCGGGCGACATACGATTCAATGTCTTCCTAGAATTCTTTAGAAAACCTTCCTCAAAGCCTTATCAAATCCAAAGCCAAGATCAAGCCTTCAAGCTGCGCAGTGAGTGTTTAGGATGTCACGTTTCTAACTTGTTTTTCAGTTTTTCCTGATCTATGATCTCTACACCGCTGCCTTCGCTGGAGCGGGGATGACAGTCTTGGCTCTGGTGAGTGTCCAAAACAGAACACAATCACAGTGTGTTCTCATGACGCCGTTCCCGTAGGTGTCGAGGAATTCTGCTCCTGCATCTATTAACCTCTTGTTGGGGTTGGCTGTGATTTATTGTTGTCGGTTGTGGTTAGAAATGACTAGGATGATTGTGAGTGTGTTTTTCAGCTTAAAGGAACACTCCACTATTTTAGAAAATAGGCTCATTTTCCGACTCCCCTAGAGTTAAACTGTTGAGTTTTACCGTTTTCAAATCCATTCAGCCGATCTCCGGGTCTGGCGGTAGCACTGTTAGCTGTAGCTTAGCATAGATAATTGAATCTGATTAGACCGTTAGCATCTCGCTCAAAAATGACCAAAGAGTTTCTATATTTGGTACTAAGACCGACGGAAAATGAAAAGTTGTGATTTTCTAGGCCGATATGGCTAGGAACTATACTCTCATTCTGGCGTAATAGTCAAGGAACTTTGCTGCCGTACCATGGGTGCAGCAGGAGCAATGATATTACGCAGTAGGGCTGTCAAATAAAAAATCTAATTTCGAATATTCGTCGAATTTAAAATAAAAATCCACATTCGAA